TAATCAGCGACTGCAATGATGGGCTTAAATGTAACACAGCAACGATCGACTGCGAAGATTGCATTTCTCCACGATTAATGAGTGGTAGTGACCCGCATTCCATTAGCAACTTCCCACGCTTTAGATCAATGACAACTTTATTGAGCTCCAGGAAAGCTGCTCCCAATATGGTTTGTTTCGCATCTGGTGAATCGAGAAAGCAGTGTGTTCGCATTCGTCCCCCGATTCCTACGGTGTGTTCGGCTATACCATCAATTCCCACTGAATGACCGCCAACCGCCCTTATGATCGTGCAGCACGACTGAAGCTTTTCACCTCGCCGATGGTTAATTAGCGACACCGCGGCACCCGTATCGATCAGACACCTTTCCAGCGTTCCGTCTACTTCCACCATTGCTTCAACCGCACTCCTGCTCAGCGCCCCAGGTACACAATCCTCGATCTGAAAAGAAAAATAAGGTTGCACACGTTTATTCGACACCCGAGTAACACCACGCCTCGGCGGACATTGTCTCTTCCAGTGCCCCGGGTTCCCGCAGATGAAGCAACATCCCTTTGTGCGCACCCGATAACGCTGAACGCGAAGCCGATTGATGTCTTCCGTAAGCTGCTCCATCATCCGTTCCAATGTGTCCATCCGTTCTACATTCACACATGGCTCTTACTTCAGCGCAGCTAGTGGTGCGTCGCCCAGGTCCCGAGTAACTTGCGCCAACTCCTCCAATTGCATCTTCCGAGTAGCATTCGCAATCCGAACGCGCTCCGCGGTTGGCTGTGGGAGGCCGGCCAAAAACTGATCCACCAGCAACTGCGTCTTTGACGGCCCCTCCAACCTCGGCAAGGCGCGGTCCAACAAGCTCCTAAGGTGCACCGCAAACACGAAGGGATCCGTCCCCGCACCAAGCAGCGACGCCTTGAACCGCCGCAACGCCTCCTGGCGGTCCGCTGGCGCTTTCAGGCCAGAGAGCAACGCTTCCTTCGCGGCGGTGCACTCCAACTTGACCGGACTTCTTCGCGCCGCCTCCAGAACCGCCTTCGCCCTACCCTTGAGGAGACTCCGCAGGGCAGCCATCTTCGCCCGGTCCGTCTTCAATCCTACCGCCTCTGCCACCTCCTCGAAATCCTCCAAAAACACCTTCACCTCCCCGTCGTCAAATGGTTCCGGCCAGGGGATCTACATGGCTTGCGAGGTCACGGCGCCAAATGTTAGAGCCCGTGGCAGGCGGTAATTGTTTATCACTAAAGTGGCTTACACCAGGTGTGTTCGTTCATACATTGGAGGCGTCCGCTCATCTGCGTGATTTCCATACAGTTACTTTGGAGGCGTCCGCTCATCTGCGTGATTTCCATAGCGTGTTTCCCAACTGGTGCTCGCCTCTGTGTTCACTCCTCGTGCACATGGAACTGTAATCCTGAGGTCATCTTCAACTTTGGGGAAGTCGGCAAGGCTCGCTGTTGGTGTGTCAGCTTGCACCACACCACTTATATCCGGCTCAGTAGTATCTACCTTTAATCCACCACACTATGCCCATGGATCTCTACATGGCGAAATCACACCTAACTTGTTTATTGACACAACAGCCATGACTGATTTTTACGCGCCCCAGCGCCATCATGTTAATTGGCGGGACAATTACCTGACAAAATGCTCATCCATATGGACCACATCTTCTCGGTTGTAACGTTCATTAAAACGAAATGTTTTACTATTCCGAAAAAGCTATGCTTGTATGCATATTTGATCGCGGTTCCACAGGTGTGTCTCGTTTTACCGAGAATATACCATTTAGTTATTTATTTATATTGTGGATTTTATCGTACTTCAAAAGACGCCGAGAACCCGCTGGAGACTACTCCTGGTCATGCCCGGACTTTAGAGTTAAAGAACGGACTGCGCGTAATTTCGTTTAATGTGCTCAGTCTCAAACTACCTAGACGAAGTTCAGGTTCTTGCCTCCGTGAATCGGCCGCACCTTATAGCTTTCACCGAGACCTGATTTCCATCGGATATCTTGGACTCGGAGGTGTAAATCATTGGATACCACCAATGCCGGGCAGACCGCCATGGAGGAAGCCCAGTGAGCGGTGTGATGGTCCACGAGAAGATGGACTTCAAGGTTCACCTGGTTAAAGCTACTTGTGGCAGTAATGGCTACTACGAATCTCCCTGGTGCCGTATTCCTGACGGATGCAGATCTCTCATGGTCGGTGTTGTCTACAGGGCCTTATTGGGGTCCGGAGCCTGCCTGCTGGACACGATCTAACTGCATGTTGGGAGCAAGGACTGCCTATTACTGGGAGATGTCAATGCCCCGAGTATCGACTGGGACCTACTGCATTATGTTCCCTCTACAAACGCTTTTGAGTACGCCCTTTTAGAAACGGTTCTCCAAGGTAACTTATTCCCACCTGTCACAATACATACCCGTATGCTTGTAGGACAAACACCTCATATTCTTGACCAGTACTCTCACGGGCACAAACAGGTGTCACCAGCCTAGCCGTTCTTTAGCCCATTGGTAAACGTGATCACTGTGTGGCTTCATTCCTCTGGACTTTATCCATTATTCTCCACAACCAGATCGTCACCGCAACTATTTCTGGCGTGGTGATCCTCAAAGCCTACAAACTGTCGCTAGTACTGTGGACTGGAATATACCCGAACCTCTGGACCTGGACGATGAGTGCGACCTCTTTTACTTCAAAATGATTTCGCTCATTGAGCAGGTCGCTCCTGTCTACAAAAGATCTATTACAAGCAATCCTCCGTGTATTGATCGAGAACTTAGGGGCCTGAGGAACAAACGACAACCTGTGGGTCCGATTGAAGCTCAGGCACTCCGAGTCTGACTTTTCGGAATATAAAATGGCCAGGAATATCTGCAACTTGGACAAACCAGATGAGCGGCACAAGTACGAACTCGGTTTGACTGAGCAATAAATGACGACTCTCAAGACACTCTGCTCTTATCTGAAGAGAAGTACCAGAGCAGGCAGTGGTATTCCTGTCCTGTATTCCTTGGTGGATGACGGTTTACTTGTCTATGACGCTGCGCAACCCCGTCTCCTGGCCATGCAATATTCATCTGTTACTTCGATGGAGTGGCCGTTTCCCAGTGACGCGGCGTCAATACACCAAGCATCGTTGGAGCACGCAGAAATGAGCGCTGGTACCATTGCCAAAGACATTCCTCGATTAGCTCCGAACTTCTCGCCTGGTCCTGACAGGTTGCATTCGCTGTCCCCCAAGACTGTGGCAGCTTACATTGCCGCTCCTGTTTGCCGGTTATCTCGTCATGCACTTGAAGTTGGACGGCTCCCTAAGGCTTGAAAGTGGGTATGGTTACACCCATACACAAAGGACGGGATCGTCAAAATCCTGCAAATTATCGACCCAGTTGCTTAACGTCAATATGGTGAACGGTAATGGAGAGGATACTCAAGCTGGCACTTCTTCTCCACCTCGAGAACCTTAACATCACCTCTTGTGCGCGGCGTGGTTTTCGGCTGGCAAGCTCATGTTCTTCGAATCTGCTTGTCGCCTGTGAAAGCTGGGGAAAACAGCAGACGCTGGGAAAAGCCTGGATATTTATTTTGTCGACTTCAGCAAGTTCTATGACAACGTTCCTCATGCAAGACACCTTTATAAACTACGAGTAATAGGTGCTTCTGGGCACGTTCTCTTTTGGATCGCTGATTTGTTGGATGACAGGACAATGTGAGACAACGTGAACGAGATTTTCTCCTCTCCTGTGCTCACGCATAGCGGTGTCTCTCAGGGCTCGGTCTTTGGCCCAGAAATTTTCCAGATCTTTCTCAAGGACCTCCCGTCAAATCTTCCGTCGGATTGCTTGATTTACGTTGAGGACTTGTGGTTGTGGATGGAGGTATCCTGTCTTGACGATACGGGCAGGTTAAAGGCTACTCTTGATAAGTTACATGAGTGGTAAGTTAAATGGCAATTCCCCGTAAATTGCGAGTGCTCGGTCCTCCCCATCGGTGCTCCTGAGTCATTCGAAATGTACCACCTTGCTGGGGCTTTGCTCAGAACCTCAATCCTTGAAAAGGAACTTGGCGCGTTGGTGCCATCTGATCCACGGACTACGAGGGACACGTTACGATGGGTTGCTGCTACCAACAGGATATCCAATGTCATACGAAGCTCCTTCTCGCTTTTGACTCCGGCGATCATCAGATATTTGTTAACTTCCAATGTGCGCTGCATACTCGAATACGGATTACCTACCGTCTTCACACTCACCAAGTTCGAATGTGATCTCTCTGAGAAGATCCAACGGCGGGGATCGAAATACATCTTGGAGTTACGGGATTTGCTTCATCCCCGGAACGTTCAGGGAATGAAACCTGAGTTATACTAGGCGCATCATGAGAGGAGCGGTGGCGATAGAACTGCAGGCGCGCTTTCAATTCAATGCAAGCAGTTCAACTCGAGGCCATGACTGGAAACCGTTTAAAACCAGAAGGTTCAGGATTGTTCCTGCTCTCCTTCTCTAGCAACTGGCGTAGTCAACGATTGGAACGACTTACTGAAGCATATTGTCTATGCTTGACTGAGCAAGATTTCAAGTGAATGTTAACTTCTTATCTTTTGGGTAAGACGGGCCCCTGCCGATTCCACTGTAGCTGTCACGGTCCCTTGTGGAATACCGCTTAACAAAGAATCGCAGCGACCACACAATACTCGGAAAGCGATGGGGCTGACAAAGGATTACTCTTTCTGCTCTCTACAATCCTATGGTCCGTTGAAAGGGCACATTATTGAGGTACTAAGTGCTAAAATGTCATAATAAATTAACCTTAACGTTGAAAGAACTGTAATGCAAGGCTAAGACCTAATACATATTCAATTTTAGCTGCAGGTATTTATCACTTTACGTTATCACTTTATTTTGCATCCCTCAATGACTCCGTAGCACCACACAATCGCTGCTGTACCAAAACACACAGTAAATATATGGTTTATTTTGAGTCCGTTAGTTATGTACGCCGCCCCTCTACACCTCTGCATGTTACGTGCGTGCAGGGCTGGGACCGTACGTTCATCCTACAGTCTCGTTTGCAAGCTAACTAGGCGTCCCTATTCGTCAGAAGATCCTACAAAACCTTCTGCTCGCCTCGTAGTCACTTCGAATGAAGACAAAGACAGTCGTCTTCCGAGTACGCACGTAACAAAAGGTATGTCAACCGCTTTTCTGAGTTGCCCAGTCAAAGATGCTGTCAAGGACGTAGGATATGGTGCTGTGTTGCTTGGTGGAATTACGCTCACAGGTTGTTATGAATGAATGTTGCTTTTAACTTACATTATCGCTGCAGGTCTGATACTTTACATGATCATCCGCGAACTATTTTCCAGGAAAAGCCCAAATGGTGTGTACAAAGCCGCGTTTGATTTATGCAAAAGAGACACTCGTGTATGTTACGTTTGCAGCCGTCATATACTTCGTTAGGTACAGGATCTACTCGGGAGTAATATCAAGGCTCATGGTGAAACCAGCCATCGAGGGCGTAGAAGACATACGGCGTAAGCTATTCGCGCTGAATAATTGCAGTCATTTACTAGTAAATCGTTCTAGTGATGTGGTCCATGCTGTCATAACAACTGCGGTCAACGGCTGCAATCCTATTAACCAGTTTCACGTAATTCAATGCTAGTTTCACTGGCATCTATAGATGCAAGGGTACTGTCTCAACTACCAATTTAGGCATAGTGAACCCTACTTTCCCGCTGGTAGTTTGCTGATGTTATGGTTCACACGCAGACGGGCTAAGTCGATTACCCCAGCGGTAGTTAGGTCAGGTCAGGTACAGCGGACGATAGAGGCCTTCGCCCAACGAGCGTCCTGCGTCTGTGCACATAGCACAAGTTGATAGGCCTTAATTAAGGCCTATGCACAGAAACTTGGGCTATGCTATGTGCACAGAAACTTGAGGCAATCAATTCAGTTGCCATGGTCTTGTCTGTGACATTTTGATTGATGGTGCTTATTTTTCCAGGTATATAATCATTTGTGTTTCTGCTCGTATTGTGTTTGCGATTGAAGAGAACAACTAAAATGTTGACATATCGCAACCTCTGTCTTAACGAAATGGCTGAACTGGACCCACTGTTTTACTTTCTAGAGATACTCTGTCAAATTTCCTCATGTTACCGCAAATGATATTACAGTATTCCGAAATGGGGCGGGTGAGGATTTTGAAGAATTCTACTCTGGCTGTGGTTATGTGGAACTTATTTAATATATTAGCTATTGATTTTCTGGCCCTAGCCAGCTGGTATTCCATTTGTTCAGAAAAGTTGAAGGTGCAAGAATACCTGATTCCGTGATCGCGGGTAGACAGCTGAACACAAACGTGTTCGCCGTTGAATGTAATTGATCCCTCAGGTATCTACTAACCGCGATACATTATGCTAGATTTTTTCGCCGAGAACTTCATTATCCAGGTGTCACCATTTCACATGGGAGTGGTCTTTCTGTATGAACAGTAGTGTATCTTGAAGTTCAGCTCGTCGGAATTTGTAGACTGTCATCTGCAGATAGGAAAGGCATGTCATGACTGACAACCGCACTGGTGTTATTGACGTAGAGCAAGAACTGTAACGAACCAAGTGCACTCCCTTGATTAACACCGCTAGTGATTGTATGTAGTGAAGTGTGGGTTTGCTATGGTAACTACCTGAGAACGGCCGCTCAGGTATGACAATAACCAGCCTAAGAGTAGATCCTGAGTTCCAAAGGAAGCAGTCCTTTTCAGCAGCCGTTTATGGGACACTCGGTCGAATGCCTTTTCCTTGTTCAGGTACGGAAGTATGATTGCGTTTCATGAGTCGATAAAATCCGAAACATGGTTTAGCTAATGTAATTGGCAGATTATGCAAGATCGTTTGTCCAGGAAACCATGCTGAGACCTGTCGATCAGCTCCAGCGAATTGATGAATTCCATCACACCATTAACTAGTTTATCTAATATTCTGGCTACTACATGTGTGTGATGGATTGGCCGGTAATTATGAATTCCTTGTTTGGAGCCACCCTTGTGACTGACTAGGGTTGATGGACGCTGTTTTCCGCTGATCTGGAAAATAGCTTGATTCCAACGTATGGGTAAACATGTTCGGCAATAGTAACAGCATGTCAGGCCTTCCCAGTTTTATGACGGCAGGTGGGATACCATCGGAATCCAGTTGGGATGACGGTTTAGTAGAATTCATTAAATGTTGGATGGCAATGATAGAAAATTCAATGTTACACAGGGCGTTGGTTGTTTTCACTCCAATACTTGCATTTAATGGGGTCATCTCCAGGCTCATGGAGGTAGCGAAAGATGAGCTAAACGCTTCGCAGATGTCGGCTGTATCATGAAGGGACTGTTCGTCTGCATTAACCAATCCATCGATCAAAGGGGTGTTTATTAGTTTGCGACGCAGAATTTTAAAAAGTTCCTTCATGTTACATGTCGCTCCTAGAACCATTTGTTTTTCGTGTATTCTCTTCGTTTACTGTGTGTGCTTGACCCTATCAAGGATGTTGTGCAACTGTAAAAGCAAGGTGAAATTTCCTGCCTTGCTGTATCCAGCATCATCATCATCAACAGCAGTACATCAGCCATTTGAACTGATGCTTCGCTGCCATACAACCATGAGGACCTATGAAATAAAGAATAAGAAGAGGGAGAGAAGGGGGACTTACCTGAAAACCTTAATGCCCTAAGCAAACATTCAGGGTCAAGGCGCCTACACCTTGTGTAGACAACATTCCGTCACAAACAGCTGGCTATCGTGCAAAGATAAGGCGACATCGGCGAGACAGCTTCCTTGCGGCTTTCACTGCTACGCGTCATAATCAGCCATTACCCCGCAGATAACTCAGCACCATACACACTTTAAACAGACAATCCGATTAGGAGACGGCAGCAGACGCGCCACTGGTGTCGGTTGCGAGCCAAGCCCTGTAAAGTCTCGAGCCAAGCACCAGGTGAGTCACGTGGACTCCAACCCGGAAGGCGAGACGGACCAACGGCACCCAGTTTGGTTATCAGTGACTTCATTTCCCGCTGTCAAGTCAACTTCTGTCCACCTCGAGCCTTGCGCCATCCTACACCTGGTAGACTGAACAAGGCCCTCCTAGGTAAGCGGTGACCAGGCATGCGTAGCACGTGCCCGAGCCAACGTAACTTATTCATTGCTATCTGTCGTTCTAGGGAGCTAGCATGATCAGCACCACCTAGTACTCGCCTACGCACATCATCGTTGCGGACACGCTGGTGCCATCCGACACCGGCAATACTTCGCAAACAACGATGATCAAAGACTTGAAGGCGCCTCAGATCTTCAGACCGAAGGGGCCAAGTTTCACTACCATAGAGCAGAACGGCCCTCACTGTGGCCTTGTATACACGGCCTTTCAGACGGAGGGAAACTCCCTTCTGTCGCCAAAGATGACGCAGGTTCAAGAAGGCAGCTCTGGTCTTTGCAATGCGTGAGCTGACGTCAGTTTCTATGCGCGCATCATTGCTGATGCAGCTGCCAAGATGAGTGAATTGATCAACCACCTCGAGTTCCTCGTTAGCAAGCGTCAAGGGGTCATCGAGTGGCTGGTGGTCCTGCAGCAACACTTTGCACTTTGAAGGTGCGAAGTGCGTACCAAATAATGGGACCACTCTGGATAGGTTATTCAGGGTTGATTGTGCCGCCTCAACATTGTCGAAAAGCAAGACGATATCGTCCGCATAATCTAGATCAACTAACCGTTCACCAGGCAGCACTTCAACACCTACATCGTGAGATTCCGCAAGGGAACACTCCATGATTGCTGTATCCAGCAGTTGGTCTTCTGTGCTCCCGGCTGACTGGACGCCCGATTGCGTCTTTTTGTACGTGTGATTCCCTCGTCTTGGGGAGTAAGGACAGCAATGGCCTGATGTACCCGATGATAAAAATAGTCTACGGCATCGCACACAATTTTAGAGAGGAAGAATGCATCCCAATCGGCTGATCGGACAAATTTCTGGAATTGCTTTCATTTTATCCAGTGTGATACATATTGCGGAATAAAAACGTTTGATGGCCAATTTGACGCAGAAGGTGAATCCTACCATCTTGTGGTCACTACCAGTGAATTTATTTGTTTGTGCACTTGTGACCCCCAAAGTGAATGACGCCGAGTATACTTGTCGCTCTTGTTGTCTCAGTAACGCACTGTATCCAGCCAGCAATTCTGAGAGAGGAAAGGAAAGCTGTATGTGTAGACGAGGATGCTTGAGAGGACCAGTTAATTCTCGGTAGGTTAAAATCACCAGCATTTATCTTCTATCTGTGTGGCATCTCGGCAGCAAACTCAAAAGCTGAAGTGATGATAGCAACACTCGCGGTTGGCGGGTTATAAACACATCCGAGTTAAAGGTGAGAACCGATTTTTGAGACGGATAACCAAAGAGATATGGGAACACTTTTTAGCTATGGATGATCAAGAAGTTCTGCTGCGAATGTACATTGTAGGTAAATCATGCATCCACCTCCTTTGCCTGTGCCGCGATCTTTTTTGCAAGAGCTGATAATTAGGAATCATTAATATGGAGCCTAATGTATCGGGGGAGCACCACGTTTCAGTAATTCGTCGCCTCGCTGCAGAACGGGAATCTCGGATTAGGGAAGAGCAGGCCGGCTTCCGCCCAGGACGTGGCTGTATAGACCATATATTTACTTTGCGGCAGGTGCTAGAGCAGCGCCACGCATACCGCAGACCGACAATAGCTGTGTTCCTCGATTTCAAGAGTGCGTTCGATTCAGTCGATCGATGGATTCTGTTCGAAATACTTGCGCGGAAAGGTGTTCCCACGAAATATGTGAACATTCTTCGTGCTCTATACTCGAACACTACAGGCCGCGTCAGGGTCTATGGTGTCCTATCGGATAGCTTTCCGACCACAAGTGGCGTTCATCAGGGTTGTCCGATTTCCCCATTTTTGTTCAATTTCGTCGTGGATTCTATCATGGAGTGTTCCCTGATGGAATCCAACGATGTAGGTGTTGAAGTGCTGCCTCGTGAAAGATTAGTTGACCTAGATTATGCAGACGATATCGTCTTGCTTTCCGACGATGTTGGGGCGGCACAATCAACTCTGAATAGCCTATCCAGAGTGGTCCCATTATTTGGTATGCACTTCGCGCCTTCAAAGTGCAAAGTGTTGCTGCAGGATCACCAGCAACTTGATGACCCCTTGACGCTTGCTAACGAGGAACTCGACATGGTTAATCAATTCACTAATCTGGGCAGCTGCATCAGCAATGATGCGCGCATAGAAACTGACGTCAGCTCATGCATTGCAAAGACCAGAGCTGCCTTCTTGAACCTGCGTCATCTTTGGCGACAGAAGGGAGTTTCCCTTCGTCTGAAAGGCCGTGTATACAAGGCCACAGTGAGGGCCGTTCTGCTGTATGGTAGTGAAACTTGGCCACTTCGGTCTGAAGATCTGAGGCGCCTTCAAGTCTTTGATCATCATTGTTTACGAAGCATTGCTGGA